GTGTGTTTTGTTGTCCCCACGGTTAAAGCTCAAGGGTTAGCTCTGCAACCACAGGAGCTGAGGGTTTTGTTCTTCACCACCCAGGGCAGCACAGCATCCCCTGCACGTGTAGTCATGGACAGTCACCAGCATCCACCACAGACACCCACCACAAAGCACTGGCACTCAGGTGGCTGTGTGGCACCTCTAGTTCCTCATCTCGCTGCTCTCTGCAAAGTTAGTGACAGCACCTCCTAAAAACACCTATTTTCTATTTTCCACAGCTCCCTGCAACCAGACTGACTGGCTTGGGTGCTGCGGTGGCATTCCCAAACTGCTGCCCCTGCAGGAAACCGGGTAAGAGGGACACAGCAGCCGTGTAGTAAAGAGCATCAAGCCTCTTGAGACAGTCTAATTCCTCCTGGTGGAAGCTGTTTATTCTTTTTATTGCTGCCCTGTTGACTTTATTTGAAATACCCTGAAGCCAAGTCTCCTAGCTGCAGATGCACACATGGTAAGCTGCCGTACAAGCACTCCTCCCTGGGAGAGCTCAAGTTTTGAGTTACAGATGCTGCTCTGCATGACAGTGCAGTGACGGTGATGCTTTGCATGGAGTCTCCATGATAAAACATACCTGGCTCCTGGGGCTGGCAGGAGCCTGGTATCTGGCAGGCGGCCCAGTCAAAGGACAGTGTGGGAGGAACCTCTGTGCCTTTGTGGAATGAAAAGCTCTTTATGCTGGAAAAAAAATATCACTTCAAACAAGAGAGTAAATCCCCAGAAGAGACCCTCTGCTTGTACAAATCAGTATCTCTTCATTAAAGCCAGTGGCATCACGCAGAGCTGCTCAGGCCAGGGGAACATCCCTGTGCAGTCACACGGGAAAAGTGCTGCACAAAGCAAAGCTCTGCAGGCACAGACGTGCCCAGGCATTAGCTCTTGATAGAAGCAACCATGACATGAGCTGCAGGAGATGCCTAAATATAGATCCTAATAAAGAGGTCTGTGGCTTCAGCACCTTTGAGTCTCCCTCTTATCTGGCAGGCTGAACCCCACACATGGAACACAGCCGTGTGTCCGACAGCCCAGCTCAGCCAGTCCCACTGCCAAGGCTGTTGGCATGGAGCAGGAGTATGCGCCTCACCAGAGCAAGTGGCAAGTCCCAGAGTAAAACCTGAGCATCCCAGCTAGCCTGTCACCAATCACCCTACTTACCAGGTAACAGCAGCCTAACTCCTAGTCCTGCATGGTACCCAGGGCTAGCTGGAAACAAATAGTTCTTATTTACTCTGCTCTATTCCCCTTCTTCCTCATTTTTAATTTACTCCTTCTTTAAAGATATATTACACACTTACACGTATATTGTATTTTCTGGCCTCTACTCTCTTGACAGTGCTGCAAAATCTAGAGCTTTACCGTGAGGTAAGTAAAACCAACTGAAGATTTTTGGCAGAACAACTTTGACTGCTGCTTCTGTTTCATAACTTCAATAAGCATCACTTGACCATGTGAAAAATGACAATGCCATCAGCTAAGTTTCCTAGGGACCGAGCCATTTGGCAGTAACAATATTAAATTCCTCAGAATTCCCCTCCTTTACTTGCTTGCTTGTCTCAGATATGCCAAACACGCTAATCCACAGAGAAGCAAGCTGCTGGTTTAAAAGGATTTACAGGAGGCTGAACAAGTTTTGGTGGATCAGGACGTATTGACACCGACCATTACGTTTTACTCCACTAAATCTAGTGATATCTTTCATGTGACCATTTCAAAATATTTCACAGCCATTTCACACGGAACTCCAGAGGGATGGATAAGCAGCTTTATCTCCACTTCACATATGTGGTCAAAGAGATTAACTTGGTCACACAGCTAATGACAGGAATGAGAGACGAACCCAGGCGTTTTAATACAAACACAGGCTTCTTTCAAGGGAAGAGGCACAGTGCTGTACTTTAGGTCCAAGTCTAATTGGATCTGTCTCTATATTCTTCTCTTCCTCTCTGAAGGACAAAACAAAGGCCACTGGAGACGGATGGAGGGCAGACACGCTCTGTGCCACTTCACGGCTCCTCTGATCGAGTTTTACATTTCTCATTAAAACCACAGCCCCGGGAGGACTCTCCACCCTCGCCCAGCACAGCTGGGACCTCCTTTCTCGCCAGAGCGGGAGATTAGCAGAACGGCTTTGTTATAGAAGTCACTGTGCTGTGGTGACGCCGAGGGCACAAGATATGTCAAGGCTGTGCCTAATGGATGACATTGAGCCAGCTGGGATTTGGGGGAAATGGTGCTAAATTAGCTGCTCCAGCATCCTGACGGTTCAGATTTGCCTACAAATCAAGAACTGCACATGGCAATTTGTGCTTGATATGAAGGGTGTGCGTGAGCACCCATCACCCCTCCTGCATCCTGGAAAGACTGCCCGGTACATCATTAATCATCCCCCTTGGTGACACGGGATGGAGAAGCCAGGAACATTTCCATAACTGCAATACGTGGACGCTGGTGGGATCCCATTAAACATAGCCAGCCAGGTTCTGAGCTAAATCAAAACTCTTGCTCCTACCATGAAGTCCCTTCACACTCATGTCCTGCGGACACACTCCCCCTGCACACACACATGGGGCCCTGCATTGCCCGCTCTGCTGCAGCCAAGGGCTCTGCTGGCTCTTGATCAATGGCAAAATCCACCTTCTGTGCTCAGAGCCCCTCTGCTGCATCCCATGAAATGGCAGGGCTGCCCCAAGGGGCAGAGGACCCGCATCCTGCATATTGCCATGGTACAGACCTGGTGCTTGCAAATGGCACCATCTTCTTATCATTGTTAAATGTACTGAGATTAAAACTCTGTAAAACTATATCTAAAAACATCTGTTTTCTTCATTTCAAAATAATCTCTTCATTTTCCTTTATGTGGATTACACACCTAGAGGAAGCCCAACACTGCTGGATCTGATGGCTGTCTTTTCTTTTAACCACTTTCAGTACTAGTGGGATACAGCAAATGGAATCTGTGCTGAAACCCTCCTCATCACGCACTTGCAAAATACACTGAATTTGTACCAACGCCTGCTCAAATAAACTGCTCTTCCTTTGAGAATTTAAAATTAGGACACCTGTGAGCAGCTCACACATCCGATATTTTGTTTTCTTTGGTGAACACAATGTATATGAGTAGGGGAATTTAGCTGCACAGAGTTGAAGATGCTTTAACGTCCCCTGAAGGAATTCCTGGAGCGTGGAAGAAAAGCCGTCTGCTGACTCCAGTGGAAGTGTCAGCAAGGAAATAAAGTTGGGAGGAATAATACAAACAGCCAGCACTAAAATGGAACTCGGCAACTCTCCACGAAGTCCAAGTCCCCAAAACTCCATTAATATAAGTCATTCTTGCTTAAAAAATAAATGAGAAAGAGAACATAAAAGCAGAAGCTCCACAGATTGATCAAGGTATTATCATACCTTGCTGTTCAAACGTCTCCAAGATCAAATTAGTAGGTTTTTATATGGCTAAATACATCTTAAAGAGAACAAAAAGAATATGCTAAGAATATTTTATCTCAAAATCTTGAAGTCATCAGGTGTTTTGTATCAGACTTACTTTAATTAATGCTTAGAAGAATAATGTGACTGAGTTAGGAAATGAGATAAACACTCCAGCACATTTTAAATTATACATTTGGGTAACAATGAAGCCAGCAGACCAACTCGGTACTTACAGATCAGTTATTTATGTGCTCATTGAAGCAACTCTAGCAGGGAGAAACTGCATCATGCAATCTATACCACTATGAAGAAGCCTATTAAAGGAAGAAATGGAAATCCCTTCTCACAACCATTTAAGAGCAGCTCGTAGGAGTCACTGATACAGAAACTATTCCTACCACCACTAGAAACCTGCTTTCAGCAGCTCCTGCCTTGAGGCTGTTTTGTGCAATGAGCACTTCAGATACAACTCAGCGAGCTCCTCCCTAGCTAGAAAAGCACTTCCACATGTGCTTAACTGTCTGTGTGTGCTTGATGCCACCAAAGTCGAGGAGAGCTACGTGCCTGCTCATCCTGACAGAAACTGCAGATGCATGTGGTAGAGAGAAATTCTGTTTCAACAAGAACAAGAGTGTACCTGATCTTCACATTATCCATTTCAAATGCAGACTTATCGATGGGCCAGGAGTAAACCTCAGGCTCACCCAGTTTGCCCCAAAGCAAACTCTCCTTCAAAGGCTCTGTACTTTGAGAAGCTCCAGCTGCAGGACACCCTGGCTCTGCGAGAGCCACAGCAGATGAAGCTGTGTCTTTAACATGGTCCCTCCATGTCTGCATAGTTCTGAGGGCAGAGCCAAATAACCAATAACAGGACCTCAACATGCTCATAACACAGCATGGAAGATGCAGAAAATACTCAAGCAATACACAGTTTGTAAAGAAAGCTGCCTGATCCCCAAAGTTCAACGCAGACCCTTCTGCTTATGCACTCAGGAAAGCATTTGGCTCGGGCTGGTTCAATACCCTGCAGTTATAATGAGAAACTCCAAAGTTCAGAGGAGGTCGACTCTGAGTGGTGCCCAGAGAAGCTGTGGCTGCCCCATCCCTGGCAGTGTTCAAGGCCAGGTTGGACACAGGGTCTTGGAGCAACCTGCTCTAGTGGAAGGTGTCCCTGCCCGTGGCAGGGGGTTGGAGCTGGATGAGCTCTAAGGTCCCTCCCAACAGTCTATGATTCTGTGACTCCCATTTCATGGTGTTTCTGGCTCTGTTCATATATGCCTACATCAACTGACGAGAAAGTCAAATGTGCGTGTTCAGCTGCAAGGAAAACACACCATCACAGAGAAAAGCAAAACAAATCCAACTTTAAAGCACATTTTCAGGCCCCATTTAAGCATATTTTAAAGCCCCAACAAACACCCCCTTCATTACCGCCACATGAGGGCTCATTTAAGGACCAAACCGTGCTTAAGATTTAGCTGTGCACTTCTCAGTAGAAAACGGGCAGGATGCACACAGGGGGAGGAAGCACTTACATCAATGAGGTCAGAGACGTCGTGGATGTAGTATTTACTGACAGCGGCGTTGGTGGCTGCCGTCATTCCTGGCTTTAGTACACTTCAGCTTGTTTTCAGAGTATTTGGCTTGTCTCTGAAAAAGCAAAATGCGCTGTCAGAGCACAGATAGGATGCTACTTCTACAGCTTCTCTTGCCGCGGGGCCCCGCAGCACCCTGCAGCCTGGGTGTGACATGTTAACTTGTAATTAGCTATGAAAACAGGCACCCTTTCCAGGATGGAGGAGATCACATCTGAACATCCCGGGTACCATCAGCCAATGCACAACCAGTGCTTTCTGCTCAGCTATACCCAGTGCATCCCGAGCACAGCTGCTCTTCCTTCATCTGTGCATTTGTGGAGGTTTTGGCATCAATCAAAATTAGAGGGCTAAATCTCCCTCCCGGAAACACTGACATACATTTGGACTTGCTCCAGATTTATGCAGCTGTATCAAAGTGGAATCTGGCCCAGAGGCCCAAGCTACAAAATTTAGAACAGGACCCAGAATTCAGAACTGTAGGAAAGCAGATGTGCTCAGGATCTGGGGCATTCGCTCAGGCACATCAGTTGTCTGAAGGTTTAGCACAAAAGATTAACCCTTCAGAGAAGCACACTGCTAGACAATGTCCCAGTGCTGGGTCACTGAGAGAGAGCTGGGTCAACGTGTCAGCAAACACGTCCCGACTGGGGAAGCTATTGCTTTTTTCTCCAAAACAGTTTTGGAGATCCCAAGACCTGGAGGGATTTGCTGAAGCCAGAATGGAGTTACGTGTTTTGACTAGCAAAGCCAACTAAATACTGCACTTAAACTCCCAGACAGTCTGCAGAGGAAGAAACCCTGATATTTTATATATCTGACCCTTTTTCTGCCTGCCATGAGTCTCTGCCTGCAGGAACCCAGAGTCGGCTGTTGTCCACTGTTAAAAGTGCTTTTTTTACAAAGCAAGCCATGAACAAACCACAGCCCCCCATAGCAGGGTCGCACGTCCAGGTCAGAAAGCATCACTGTGCCCAGCCAGACAGGCCAGCGCACTGCCCTCCTCAGCCTTCCACACAGCCTCTCAGCCCCCAGCCATGTCTCTGACACATGGGTCAACATCCTCCCTAACCCCTTCCCACAGACACTGGAATGGCTGCATGGAAATGGATAGGGCTGGAGCCAAACCCTCCTGCCCGCCAGGAGCCCTGACCCAGCGTGGCTTCCCCCATCCTTCCCTCTCACCCACCTTCTCCTTCATCTTCTCAATCTTCTTGACGGAGCTCCGCCGCTGAGGCCTGTCCTCATGCCGCAGCAGGTTCACGCTGATGTCCCCGGACTTGTTGAACTGCTTCTCCTCCTGCTTCTCTGCCTCCTTCAGCTTGCTCTCAGCGCTGATGCTTTCTGCATGATACATGTGGTAGGTCTTCATCACCTGAGGAAACAGAAGGCTGAGAGTCGCCTGCCCAACAGGCACACAAAGCACCAGTGCATGAGAGGATGACAGCCATGGGCAGCGAGGAGCAGCCTCAGTTGTGCCTGAGCTGTCCGAGGTCACTGTGGCATTAAGGAACAACAAGGTGGGAAGGGAAATCCCATAAAATTAACCCCATCACTAGCCTTTTTTCAAAATTGCAGAGAGCTGGTGTAAGAACCACTCTCCCTGCTCAGTCCCCATTGCAGGGACAGGCTGAGATGTGCCTCCAGCACACGTACAAGTTCAAAGAGCACTGTGCATCTTCCTAAAGGGAAATGAGAAATAACATCCAGTGCTTTGCAGCTGGGACAAGGGTCTCCATGACAAGAGACTGTAAGGAGGCCAAAGTCAACCTGAAGTCACTTTAAACCCAATCCCTCTGTTCCTACACTTGAACTTGCTAAGCCAACCCATCACCATAACCCCTGCTCTACCATCCTGACAGTAGATCCCATCTCAGTGGTGGAGGAGCTACAGTTTCCAAGCAGAAATGGAGTTTGTCTCTTATCACCACTTACTTCTCCTCTTGCTGCTGCTGCCAGTAAGCAGAGTCAGTGCCAGCGTGGACTGCAGCAACACCTAGTCCTTTAAATTCAAGATCACCATCAGTGACTCTGGATAGACGATGCTGATCTACTGCCAAGAAAACTCCTGCAGGCAAAACTGCTATCACAGCCTTTCCTTTCAGATACAAAAGCCCAAAGGGCACATTGTGATCATTTTAATGGAGCTGGCAAGAGGAACACATCTGCTCTTCTCTCTTTATGCCTTTAGTCACGTTGTCCCCTTTTATCATCTCCCTTCAGGATTTGGATGCTTTATTTCACATTGCCTTGACAAGGCTCGAGATGCCTGACCTCCCACTGAAGATGAGCCTCACACAGAGCCTGGGCATCACTGGCAGTGCCACTGGGGCAGGCTGGCTGAGGCCCACGAGGTAAAAGAGAGCAGGAACCCACAAAAGCAGAGTAACTTTGCACAAGCCTTAATGAAGAAAATACAGTTTTCCTCAGCTGCAGTTGTCAGCCGGAACCAGGAGTGTTTAACTTGGATGAGGCTGAGCTAAAACATATGATGTCTCCTCTTGCCAAGCACAAACGTCAGCTGCAAATGAGCTCCAAATGCCGCATCGAAGCCTGCACAAATGTGCCATCACTGGCAGTTATAATTTTAGGCAACTGCAAGGAATCGTAAGCCAAGGTGTGCTCCTCATTTCTGAGCTGCTTTATTTCAAAATCCTGCAAATTCTAACCCTGCATATTTCAAACTGCAGTTTCCGCAGTGAATGTCACAGGACACACAACAACCAGGCAGTTTCTGGGGTGTTCCTAAGGAGAAGGCTAGAGGGCTTCACTGAGCCCTCCTCATCTTCACTGTCTCCATCTTTCTATGAAAAACTTAGAGGAAAGGGAAAAAGAAAAGTCCTGCCCTTCAGCACAGTCAGGCGGTAACGGGAGAGGTTTCTCCAGCACCCAGAGATGCCGAAACACAATGCGACAGAAAGCATAACAATTAGGGGTCCAAATGGCATGATTTTTGTGAAATCTAAAGGTTATGAGACTGTTACCTAATGAGAAAAACTTGAGCGCAATTCACTGGGGGTCTCGATTCACGCAGGGTTACACCACTCTGCGGCAGGCCTGGGGACATGCTGCTGTAACCCCTTTTCCCACGGACTTCAGTGGCTCTTGTGACTGCAAGGGGAGTGTTGGAAGCTGGAGCACAAGGCAGGACTCCATTGTGCAGGGAACTGCAAGTGAGGGGTCCGAGCCCCACTATGATCTGGTACCTTTGCACAGGCTCCGATTGATCTATTTGCTAATGACCAGAGAAACCTTCCTTAACAAAGGCACTTTTTCTCCTCCTCTGTATTTTCTCCCTGCTTGAACCTGAAAAGATAACATGGGACCCCGATTTAAAAGTCCTCCAAAAGTCTCTTCAACAAAATGCAAAGGACCTAATAGCCATGAAGATATTTTCCCCACACTTCAGCATCCACGTAGCTGAAAGTAGGTGCCTTCAACAGCTCACTGTGCCAACCATGCTCCTCATCAGCTACTATACCACCCAGTTCACACTTGGAAATTTGGGGGATACTTCTGTTTGTTTTAACATCTGCCTTAATGTTGAATGGGGACTACCTGCACTGCAGCAATCAGCCCTTTGATCTGCAATTCCCTCATGCTTCTCAGCACTTGCAATCAAGTCACTCTGTCCCTGTCTTACACTATTGTGGCATACAGGAAGAACTACCACAGCTGCGTCCCCAGGATCTTTTCTGCAAATAAGTTAATTAGCTGCACTGGAGGGAGAAAAATATGTTCCAATGCTCATTAGTTATTTAACAACATGAGTTGTGTTTTCCAATATTAATAACATGTTCTAGATAAAGGCCATTGCCAAAAAGCAGCCATAAATGGCACTGTTTGCTGTCTTCAGCTAGAAGCGCTGGTCATTAATGTTCATTTCTAAAGAGCTGGTCATTAATGTTCTGACTCAGCAGAGGAGCCAGATCAGAAATGGGGTGACCAGTATAAGCACAGGCTCAGGCCCTCCTGAAGTAGAGGAAACCAAAACACAAGCTCAGCACATAGGATGAAGCAGAGATGAGCACGGCCACAGATGGAAGCCTGCTGAAGACCCAAGCCCCTCCTTCTTTGGATGAAGCCTACAGCACAACCTCAGGGACACGCACAGGATAAGGTCAGAGAAAGGGAGAAATCCATCAGACCAATGCATACTGACCTCTCTCTCCTTGGGAACACAGGAGCAAACATGTCCCTTTCAGAGGGTTTCTATGGCGTGACACAGAGCAACATTTCCACCATGTGATACAGTCAATGATTTCTACAGTATGACACTGACAGAAAACATCTGTAAGCCATGGGGGTATTGCCTTCCCCATTGCAGCGCTCCCGATGGAAAGGGAATACTTCCAATTCATAACCTCCTACACAGGGCATGATGACTATTATTTATTACTTTTAACGTGGGTAATGTATTTGTAGATATTATTCTAATTAATACAATTAATTTCACAGTTATTATTCCACTTCCATAACACCTTGTGACAAAGAATCACACTGGTTCACGTGACACTACTTCAACATGCTTCTGCCTTCAGCTATGGCCATGTCCCTGCATTATGGCAAACAAAGCCTATACATCAAGTAACCCATGTCTAGTGCCGTACCCCAAATGGTACATCATCACCAGAGCCTACAGAAAACACTACCAGAACAGTGCTCTGGGGTTACTGTTTTTCTTATCCTTTTCTTACCCTTAATTTTGGCCTGACTTCTTCAGGTAGGAATGCATACAATACAAAAAGGGACATGTAAGTAGAGGAACAAAGAACCTCCAGTCTGTATGGGCTTCAATTTGATATCTGTCTGCTGAAGTCAGTAAGCAGGAATCAAAAGAATGAGGCTGGCTTGAATTCACAGCTGAATTATTTCTGTGCAAAGCTGTTCACAAGCAACTCCTACTTCAGAACGAAAGTCATCTACTTCCTTTTTAATTAAAATCAGCATGAGTTTAGGGTCTAGTTTTTTTTCCACAGAGTCCACAGGGTGACTTGCATCAGAACAGCAACAAGGCTGAATTAAAGTCAATTTAGTTATTTTGGTTTAAGTTTGCAACAGCAAATACCTGAGAAGGCTGTAAAAATTGTATCATTTCCACACAGTGCACAGAATTCCCCTCTGAAAGGCTTAAAAAGCAGCCCAGCCAGAGTACAGATGTACTAGGGATACAAGGCTTGGCCGCAGGCAAGATGAACGACTTCCTTGCATTGACAGCAGACAAATGACATTTTACAAGCAGCAGCTTGGTGTCCTTTGAGCCAGGGATCCTTATTCTGTACCTGATTTTGTCAGCAGCCACGGTTATTGAATGTGCTGCTTTTGGGTACCCAGTATGTTGCAATGAACCCAACAACAACAGGCCAGTCCTGAAGATGCCCCAGAACACCCCCAGCATGTCAGATCAACCTGCAGACCAAGCCCATTTCACCTGATGTCTCAAGGACAGAAAACTACTGACTGGAGGGGGCTGCTTTGCACTGAGCAGGTTTAACATGATCTTGCTTGCCCAACACAGCCTGCTTTTATTTCACATTTCATCATAGTTTCTGAAATTAGCGTGTCTCTCCCCTGCTCCTTCCCAGCCAGATGACACAATCGGTTTGTTATCTCAGCAGCAAGGTCAATTCAAAGAAAACACAAAGCTCTTCCAGCTGTTCCAGCCTGTTTCACCATTCAAACACATTCTGCTCAGCATGTGGGAGCAAAGCAGTGAATGGGGGAGGGAAATCTCAGCTCCAGCAAAGATGAGTTTTGCCACGGACTCAGTGGGACCAAAACTATGCTCTATGCTCTTCCCTGACCAACTGCATGCACTTTGGACCTCAGCACACTTCTGATCCTCAAGCTGTCCCATGTCTGAGTTCTGAGTATGTTGGCTCACAGGTATTCAGGTCAGCCCAACCTTAGTCTTTCCTTGTTTTGCATCTGTTTAATTACAACAGTCACACTGCTGTTGTAATTAATCTTAATTAATCACCACCACAGCTTGTGACATTCAACCATCAACAACGCACTCCCAAATCTCACACAGGCTTTTGAATCCAATCTGGCTGTCCACCCACACTGCAGGTCTCAGAAAAACTGAATCCTTCAACTACCAATGCAGAAACAAACCTGTTTAGAGAAGATTTATGGCAGAAATTTCAAATAATACCATTCATGCTCTGTTCTTTAGGCCTATTTTTCAAAAAGATGGAATAAAATGATTGTTTAGGAATAAACCTACTGCAGCGTTATTTATGTACCAGTAACAGATACAACCAAAGAAAGCAAATACATCATCTCAATTTTCCAACACAAGACAGACTTTATATTGCTTTGTTGATCCTAAACCACAAATAAAATAAATAAAACAAACAAAACCATTTGCTAGAGAGCAAGAGACAGAAGCAACAAAGACTCCCACTGCCCTATTATGAAAACCTGCTCGAAGAGCAATGTCCTGAATAACAGCGTACGATTCCACCTGGAGGCACAGAGATGGCTCCACAACCCAAGTGCTCCTGGCAGCAGGGAGATGAAGCTGAGCACACACAAGTTTTATGCGTTCCTCAGCAGAAGGTCATGGTCAGGCATCATCCACAAGCCACCAGATTCGGATAGGAAGGTCAGCTCAGCCGCAAACTAGCACTGCCAACTGCTGAGCCACTAGTGCCTGGCAGAAACCACCAACCCTGTGAAAACTGAAAGGGGCCTGAAGGCAATACGGTGTAGAAGGCCTGGCAGGTGAGAGCATTACAGACACCAGGGACTGCACCGGATCATGCCTAAAACATCTCTATTTATGCTTAAGTGATGCAGTTAGATGGCATGAGCCACTGCCTCGTGCAGCCGCAGAAGCCCTTCACAGGAGGACCGCTGGGAAATCCTCCCCTGCAGCCGTCCAAACCAGTGAGGAGTGAAATACTCCTCACAAATGCAAGAGGAACCAATGGGCTGTATGGCAGAAGGGAGCCTCCTCAAGCCACTGAAACATTGAACAGACATTTTGTTCTAACAAATCACATTGCCTATGCTCCCCTTGCTGCGCAGGCTAGGCATGGGTAGGGTCAGATCGTTACTTACTGTGTAAAGCTCGTTGGTGACTTTCAGGAGTTCTTCATGCATCTGTAAGCCAATCTCTTTACTCTGGAAGACAGAAAGAAGAAGAGTTGGGACTGTTATGTTCACGGTACGCATTTCTGAAAGGAAAATACATTTTGGAGGGAAGAGTAAAACTCTGTGACTTCCCAGTACTCTGTGCATATGCATCTTCATCCTTTCCTCCAAGCCACATTACCAGAGCTGTCTGCACGTGCTGTGGACAGCACTGTGGCATGTCCTCACCTATGGTCAAGCACCAGAAGTGTGTTGCCCTCAAGGCCCTGCACAGGTTAAGTGCCAGCAGCAGCAAACAGACACTCAGCCCTTGCTCCAAACACTCCCAGCACAGCACAGCTCCATGTCACACTCCGGAGACAGACAGGAGGCATGGAACGGCGGAATGGGATCCCTACAAATGGCCAATTCAAACTTGGGAAGAAGAAATGAGGTGATGGAGTTTTCTTCCCAACTAGCTGATCAAAGGTATGCTGAGGATCTCCGGTGCTGCCAGAGTACTGGTACAGGACACCATGGCACCAGCAGGAGGAACAATATCTCGATGCTACTGAGCTGGTAGAACAGGGAAGCAGTGAATTGTTCTTCTCCTGTTTTCTTAAAGCAAATGACCAACCTGATTCCTGATAAAGGCAGAAGTACTTCTTCCCAGCCCTTCCAACCCTGCGCCCAAGTGGATCTTCTTAGTGCCCAGCAAAGGCTTTCACACCCATCCAACAGAGAACAAACCCACAGCAACCCTTCTCATGCCTGTAGGGTTTTAATTTCATTCTCTCAGCTGACAATGGAGCAGGTGGATCCTGGCAGCTCAACTTGCTTCTGGTAATGCCCATCTTAAATACCTTCTGCCCCCTCAGAGATCTGCCCTCTGCCCTGCCAAACACAAGACTTGACGTGTTTTGCTCTGTAGTGGAATTAAAGCCATGCAACCTTTTAAGTCTAGATATCATTCTAGAAAACAAACCAGCCCTGGCAGCATGAGAAATGCACCAGGGGCTGTATTTACACCACTTCAGAAACCCTATCTAACACCCTTCTAGCTCCAGGAGCTGAAAAGACATCAACAGGGCTGCCAATCCACATCTGGGCTCAGTTTTTCCCATTCCTAAACATTAAAACCAAAATACAGATGGCCTCCTCCTCCAATCTGCCTCTGACAGTGAAGTTTAAAAGTAAACTAGTACTTTGATTTCTTTATATTTTCTACAAATCCTTAACAAAATTAAATGTGTGATTGTAAACATGAACACATACAGCGCAGCAAATCCTTATGCTATTTCAGAACTGCTGTACTCTCATTTGAGGCTGATGTTTGTCCACGGATCACTCAACCAGGGTTTCAGAGACCACCACACAATTTATTTATCCTGCAAACACACAGGGATGAATCTAGAATTACAGACCATACCGCTTTGTTCTTCCACTGGCAGTATTTGTCTCCAGCTCACAGTCAAATCACTGCATGGATCTAACACAAAATGCCCTCCCTCATTTTGGGCACTTATTTCACGTTAAGACTGGCAGAGGGCAAAAAAGCTGGGCCTGCTCCATAGCCAGAAGTGTCTTACAGCTGGACGTTGCCTGTTCTTCAGCAAAACCTGCATTACTGGATGTGGGTAAATAAATGGCTGTTACATTCTCCACACCGAGCTGGCTGTGTTAGTGCTATGTTAACTCCCCTGTATAACTTAAATTACATGATAAGCATTTGTGGGTACATAAATTGCTTAGACACACATTCTCCAGTCATACTGTATCATCTGTTGATCTATCTTGATTTGATAGATTCATTAAAGACACCTGCTGCTGGACTTGCAATTTCCAATCAACTGATATTTCAGAATGAAGATTATCATGGCCTCCTAGCCCGAGCGCTTCAGCTTTTACCCTGACCGTGACCCACCCTCCCCATTTGTCTTCAGTGGCTCATTTTCACTATTCTGACCTGAGTCAACCAAAATATCTCTCAAAAAGGACATTTTTATTATGAAATAGCTACACCACAGTTATATAATAAAGCTTCCAATTTCACAACTGCAGCAGCCAGAGTTCAGCAAGCTTAGGACAAAGCTCACTGAGTGTAAGAACTCGCAGCACCTTCCTCCCTCCACCCTCGCCTGCTGAAATCCTATTATCAGCTTGTATTTTCACTTTTCTCACCAGGCAGGATGAAGCAGATCCAGTCACCGACCTCTTGCAGCATCCACACAGCATTTCACAGGAGAAGCCACAACCTGAGGAGCTGCAGAATGTTTAAGCTTGGCTGCAGATCAAGTCAACTCCTACTCAGAAAGCCAGCGGTTGGATGCTCCTGGAGATGTTCATGCACTGCTTTCCCGCCTGCCTTGTAATTACACCCCAGATCTCTTTGTGGAATCTTTTTGGCTAGGAAACATTTATTATAGCTTGAAGATGTGTTTAAACTAACTATAGACACCCTCCTTCCCCCTGCCAAAAAGCGAATCAAAACAACAAGCAGCTTCTTTCAGATTTCCTCAAATAACTCCATTTTTGTGCATGCTGTCAGGGAAGACAACATCCCGTCAGCTTCTTGGCTGGGTGGCTAAGGAAGCCCACAGCACAGAGAGGTCTAACTAAAGCTAACTGGACAACCTACATACTTGAGAAGTTTAACCTTAGATGATTAAAAGTTAGAATTGAATGCAAAGAGGGAAGCAAGGAACCCTCTGCATTCAGGGAATATCTAAGAATTATAGTTTATCTGTGAATTACTATCATGGTATTTGGAGGAGTCCCATCCTCAGAAGCACAACTGATGTTCACTTACTTACATGTGCACCACGTCAGCGTGCATCCTTACGTGCAAGAAGTGCCAGGAAGATGCCAATTAGCAGCAAGTGATAAATACCTCCAGCCATCCGAAAACCTCTTCTGCTGGAAATCCCAGTGCCTGTCGCCTCCCTGCCGACACCAGCAGTCACTAGCTGCCCTCGAATACCTCACTGTGGCTTGCTAAGAAGCAACAGGGCTACTAAAAGCATGCACCCCTCCCAAATACATCCAGAATATCAGTTATGGGTCTACAAATGGGGGTTCCAGAGCCCATAGGCCCCAAGCTTGCAGGAGTTCAGCATCACATGTAACTCCTCCATCTGACCCTGCTATCAGAAGTCAGAGCTTTCCCAAAGCAAAGGGAAGAGAGACTTGTGGCAGGAGCACTGTCCCCAGGTTGGCTGCAGCTCTTGCCTCTGCCCCAGACTTCCTCTGTGGCAGAGGGGAAGTGCACAATGCTGTAATTTTCAAACCTAATTTTAGACTCCTAAATAGAGCACCAAAAACCAGCTCAGTTGTTAGCAGTGTGCCATCCCATCCATCACACTGACGAGGGAGGACTACAGGTGGGTACTACATTTAAAGACTCATTTGCTTACATCCTGCATCCTGTTTCTGGAGACCAAAGCAGTCTCTGGCATCATCAAAAGTCTTCCAGCATCCAAGAGGACAGGGTCCAGCCTTGGGATGCTGGAGCCTCACTGGCAGGTGAGAAGCTGAAGGATGTGCCTCTCCTCAGAGTTTGCTGACTCCCCTTTTACAACAGAGAAATTACATTGGTGTGTTTATGGGAGACAACGCCAGAACGTCATTCCAACTCCCTGGTACCATCTGCAAAACTCAACTCCAATTTAGACGCTTGCTTTATGCCTTCCATTCCTACTGAAAAACAATGCTGCTTGCTGGGGCAGCAATGGCTTCAGTTAGCTGGTTTATTAAAATTCCTGCAGCTGCAGACAAAGTAAGGGGAAGCAGCAACACAGACTACTGGCAAGGAAGAATGCCTATTTTAGACAAAGAAAACAACTCCCTTCCAGACAGACACCGCTTCTTCATTAAATCTCCATCCAGGACACTGCAGTATAGGGCATAATTAAATTCACTGTCATGGAACATAATTAAATCTCACACTGGGGAATAATGAAGCATGGTTATTTCGGACATAGCAATGCTCTGTCTCAAATGTATAATTTCCTGTATTCCATACTTGGAAGAAGCCACAAACTCCTTTCCTTCAGCCAGGACAGGAGAGGAAAGGGGAGAAAACACCAGCAGTGTGACCCTCGACCAGGGTTTGCCTCTGCCAGGAGGATGTGCTCTAGGATTTCATGGTGATGGAGACTCGCTCCAACAACAGATCTACTCAGATCTCTGCACTGACATAACTTAGCATCTCCATTTATTGCCTGCCTATTACCAACATTGACACAATTGCCTTGATAATCTCCTCCTGCACCAGGAATGTGACTCACGCTGGAAGCTCCAGGGAGATTTGCCCAATTGAGTTTTCTTCTTCTGTTTTCCTCATTAGCAGGCCTTGCCTGACTGCCGGAGCACAGGGAGGCTGCCTGTTTGTTCCAATTGCACAGGCTATGCTGCAGGCCGGGGTGCTGGGACAGATGACGCTGATGCCCCACACTGCCTGTGGAGCTCCTGACCCACCTGCAGGTCCCCACTGCAGCACCCCATTGCAGGACATCCATGATACCCTTTAATACGCGCACAGCTCTGCGGTACTCACTGATGGAACACCATTCCTCACCCAGGTGAGCAGCACTCTGTCTCCAAGTCCTATATTTCCCAGGAAAGCTTCTGCTGGGAAAGAGGAGACAATACCACAGAAACCACATGCTCCCTGTGTTGCGCAGTTGCAACCCAAGCTCACCTTACCACAGTGTACCTCAATGTCAGTGTCAAGGGCCGGCAGTGAGCAGGGGAAATCCCTCAAGCCCCAGCCCACCTCCAGAGCCAGTCCTGGTGGCAACCGTGCTGAAGAACCAGGAAGAGCTGGAGAATCAACCCCAGTTGCCACTCATGAGCTTCTGCAGCTCTGCACCCCCCACCCAAACCATGTCCCTTTCAAGCCACGTGTGACACTGGGAGAGACTGCAAGGAGAAGCTGCAGGCTGAGCCACCACCAAAATAAAGCCACCCAGAGCCGCTCTGAACCGCATTCATCCCCGGGGCTCTTCACAGCAGCCTGAGCTCAGAAAGCCTCCTCTGGCTTGGTCTGCCAGTCCCAGCACTCGTGGATGCTTTTCTGATGTAAAACATCTTGGGCACCAACTATCATGCAACAAGAAGCCATACCCACTAGAGGACGAGTGCCCTTTGTCACTGCAACCATAACCTGTCAGTACAACAAGTAAATGATGTCATTACCGGGTCTTTTAACAAAAATGTTAGGACATGTTTAATATCCCCATGGGCTCCTTCTTCGCTGTGAGGGCCATGAGCAGCACAGCCCCCAGCCTCGCTCTCACTAATGAAAGATGTTGGTCTTGGGTCTCAAGGCTCCAGCAAAATCCCACTATAGAAATTACCACATATATCTACCCACATCTATTGTGGCTTCAGATTAGAGGGTCACAGAAACAGGGCCAGGTGTCAGGAGAACCCCCAATCTACACTGCTATTCCTGCCCTCACATCATCCACACTGATGGGATGCCATTGGAGATCTCGATTATAGCAGTATGGTAAATACTGGATTCTGAAGCATTGCCAGGAGAAAGTTGAACCGCTTGTTTAACTGTTGGTGTAAAAATGTAAGTGGGAGGTTGGATTATAAACTGTGTAAAATTATAGAGCTTCAGTGTGCAGGGTTTCAGCTGAACAAACTGAGTTCAGAGGGCAAGCAAAATCCTATCTTCATGAAGCCAGGCCACCAGAGGCAGGAATTCCTATATTCCACAACTGGGAAGGGGAGAAAAGGAAGGGGAAGAAAGAAAACAAATCACTGGATGGGAACAACTAAGCATTTTGTAACAAAAGAACTATCAGAGTCCAAATCCAGAACGGACTCATATTTTGTGAATGGTTCCTGCCTTAACAAATATCAGTTACAAGCATCCCCACAACCCGCCTCGAGACCACCTTTGCATGAATCCCACAGCTCAGCACATTTTTTCAGCAGTTATTCAAGAAGGAGGCAAGTTTCTACAGTTACAATTGGGATCCCTTTGGATGCAATTCAGAAATACCTGAAAGGTCAACAAGAGGACTGTGGATCTATCTAACTGACACCTATCACTGTGCTTAAACACCAGCAGTGCCAAGACTGCAGCTTCCCAGGGAGCAGAACCACGAGCCTCGAGGTACCGCTGCAGCTCACCAACACCCTGCAAAGCTGTCCTGTCACTGAATGTAGCCACAGCCAGGACCCCAGGTGGGACCAAAAACGACAAAATGAGACTTGCCAATGATCCATGAAATGTAATCTAGCTTCTTCTCTATCTCTGATTATCAACTTATACTTCCTGTAAGCCCTGCTGCTGAAGCCAGTGCAAGCCACCCCTGACCTCAGGTGAGACAGGGTCAGATCTGGAGTCAGCTCAGTTAAGTGTCTCCAACTCAGACACTAAAAACTCAGTTCCCACTGGCTCCTGCTTTCCCCCTCTCTGGGTCTGTGTAAGCCAAAAGGCTTCCTGGCGTGCCTGAGTGCAGGGACCGTACACTGCCGGTCAGCAGGAGGACAAAACACTTCAATGGAGATGAACAAAACACAGCACTCCAATTTCCTGACGAACGACCTCACTGCTGCAAAGCACATCCAGGGAGGCCGAGGGGAGAAGCAGCTCAGCACCCAGCATCTTTCCACCACACTGATCAATTGCTTCTTAGTTACGTACATCCTCGTACCCCTGATATTATGTCCCTGCTTCTTTGCTGAGACTGTTTACATTTACATAATAAACACACAAAACATAAAACCTTCCAGTTCCTCCGTGTACCCGCAGCATGTCACAATCCATTAATAAATTCTAGATGGGAGAAATTAAAAGTGACATCTCTGGAAAAAATGTTACCCTAATTTACCATCAAAGAGCAATCTACAACAAAACCAAACAGCTGAACCACAACTGTGATGCCTTTAACCCTTCTGCAGCTGGATTATTTGCCCAATAGTCCTCTACAGCGCAGTCTCCCCACGAGGAGTGCCACAAGCACTTCACTCATCACAGACTCACAGAATGGTTTGGGTTAGAAGGGACCTTAAAGCTCAGATAGTTCCAACCCCTCTAACATGGGCAGGGACACCTTCCACTAGACCAGGTTGCTCCAAGCCCCATCCAACCTGGCCTTCAACACTGCCAGGGATGGGGCAGCCACACAATCATACTCAAAAGCAGGACAAATAAAAAGCACAGTCTTAATATACATCCCAAAAATGGGTCCAGAGTAATGTGCAAACAGGAAGGAGATTTTGAGACACTTAGAACTGACCTATCCAATATATCCCAAATCTGTCCCATTTCTGGAGGCCAGAAGGACAGGAAAAGGGATGATATCCCACATCAGATCAGCAAATCCAAACCTGACCTTTTGGTTTAACTTGTAGGTTAGAGCTATAAAGTAGAGGAAACTGGTCATTAAAATATCACATTAAATTTACTCTCCAGCCAGGCTAAAGTTTCAAGATAAGCAGTGTCTTGAGAGCCTGTCTCCTGTTTGGAGAGGCAGGCAGCCCAGCGGGCTCACCCTGCCCACTAACTGCAGTTCTCCAGCTAATCCTGTTGAAAACAAGTGATAAAAATGAAGAAAAACATAAGAGCCATAGAGCCAAGTGAAAAGTCCATCTAGCCCAACACGGCGTCCCTGAGGGTGGCCATTAGCAAGTGCCCAGAAGTGGAAGAAAAGGGCCAGTGATGCCACCAAGTACATTCACCATGTGATGAGCTGCAGGGCCATGATTCCAAGCCCAAAGCTGTGCCAGCAGCAGGGCTGGGCAGGTGCTGCTGGGGAACACTCCTCCACATCTGTCCTACTGCCTGAAGACTCAGGTTACAATGGTATGAGGCAACAAACACATAGCATTGCCCTCCTGTTGTAAATGTAATACTATATATACAGTATCAATGATGTTAAAAAGCCTTTCCTTTTTACCTTCTCTTTCTGATCGGTGCCTGCTGACCTCCCTTGGCTTCTGGAAGCAGGCACAACCAGGTTCTCATTCCTACTCACTTCCTACAAACTGCTGTGAGTCTTCATGCTCTTACCACATTACATACTCTGCCCTCATTTTCAGCTGAAGAGTTCTGGTCCACCTGACTGTGATTCCTGCAAGTCTGATGCTCATTTTTAATTTGCTTATCATTAATAATTCTGTATCATCAGCAGACTCTGTCATCTTCATCTTCATCTTTTTTCCAAATAATTTATTAGGAACTCCACTGAAATTCTCCTTCCTTTTGTTCCCTATCTTTTAACCAGTCATTAATCCAGAAAGCCACTACTCCATATTCTTTAACAGCTTCTTTTTGTCAGCAAGTGACCTTTTCTGAAGCCTGTCAGCCACTGAAGGGACTGTGCCAACACAATCACTGGCTCCTAGAAATACCTCCACTAGATTTCTGAGGTGTAACTCTTCAGAAAGCCATGCTGACTCCCCTCTTCTATCTGCCTACATGCCTGTCCTTCTGCTCTTTACTAAAGCTTCATCCAACAAGTCTGTTCTTAAATTTGTATTGCTGATCTGTTCTCTGGCACCAACACCAGTTTAAGCATCAGGTCACACCTCACTGCTAGCCACTTAACAGTTTTATATCTCTGTTTATTTAAAATTCTTGGATATTATCTGGAAAGACTTTTAAGTAATAGTTCCTTTTAGAGATTTGCTCTGCAACATCTGATGACAATTCAGTTGGTTACCTCAGGTTAGTAACACCAGCACCTCTCCAAGCTTTTCTATACCAAGTACCAAGCTAAAGAAGCCAGTTGGCCTTTGGCTGTTACCTCATCGTGATTTTTTGCACCTGACCATCTATTCCCCTTCACATCCTGCAAGAGGATTCTTTCTTGTGATTGTGGAGAAGTTTTTGTTTGCTTTGTGTCTTTAGGAAGTTGTCTCCCAGAATTTTACTTGGCCTGCCTTAACATGGTTTTATATTTCCACCACCAAACTCCTCTCTAGTTTTCTCATTAGGATGTGATGTGTACTTTGTAGAAATCCCTGTTACCTTTCTCTGCTTCTTAACGATGTTGGCTTTTCTGTACCTCTTTAGACTTTTGGGAGGGTGCAGTTGTGTAGAACTCCAAAATAAGCTTCTATTTTAGACTAAGATGCAACGATGGCTCCTCACTGAGCAGAAGTCTCCATCACTGCTTTGGTTACCTTTTTAAAGAGCCTGATGACATCCTCACTGATCTGTGACAGCCGAACGATGACATTGTTCATGAAGATGTCATTGAGGGTGGCGTGATCTCTGCTCTCTCGCCGGGTCTGTGTCAGAACCAGATACCAGCAGTTCACAGGGGAAAGGAGGTGCTGATCTTTCCTAGGGAATTGGGAAAAAATAAAATCAAAAAGGTCAAGTGAACAAGTCAAGGCGGCACATAACCTTCAAATGAATGCTGACGGCATATTAACAGTGCCTTCCCCCACTGCACACATCCCCTAGTACCCATCGTGTCCCCAGAGAAAAGTGTGTGAGCTCCTCTGGGCTGCCTCCCATCCCTAGAAACTGCTGCAGACTGTGCACCGCAGGCTCTCTACCAGCCAGAGCCATGTCCTTGTAGCAGACAGCACAGGGTCACTGGTGCAGGTCTGGGTGCAGGCCCAGAGCTGCTGCCCAACCAGGAATATGACTGGGCAGACAGCCCATGCTCAGACACATGGCTGCCTGCCCACTAGCTGACCACAGCAGCACCTCCTCTTCACTGCAAGGAAGGTGCTTAAACATCTCTGCCAACACAGAAGCTCCCAGTCTAAACATTACACACGAGGGTTTCAGTGAGGCCAAGGAATTCCCATTCTTTGCCCCCAAGATGCTCTATCCCACAGCTTCATCCTTGTTCACCAGCCTCCCACAGCTGATGGTGGCACAACAGAGGCTTTCTGTGCAGGGGAGATGGACGCTCTAATGTTGACCCAGGCACAGCCCTGTGCTTTGCTCAACACACATATATATCATATAATCACAGAATGGTTTGGGCTGGAAGGGACCTTAAGGCTCATCCAATTCCAAACCGCTGCCACAGGCAGGGACCCCTTCCACTAGACCAGGTTGCTCAAAGCCCCGTCCAGCCTGGCCTTGAATACTGCCAGGGATGGGGTATATATGGATCTTCATATATAATCTGCCCTATACAGCTTGTTTTTTCTGCCCTAACTCAACTTTCGGAGGCACCCAGTGCACTCTCTGGTCTGCTGCTCCCTACCTATGCTTTAAAAGGCATGGTTGGTCTGCGAAAGGTCAGTCAGTGTATTATTGCAGTCATACAGTGCAGATACTCCAGGCAATAGCTCTGAAGGACCTGAAAACGTGCAAGTCAGCCGGAAACAACGTGAGAGCTGGTCCCCTGCCCCAGCTAGGTGGGGATCCCATCTGTAGCCCTGCTCCAGTTTCCGGGAACCTCTCCGAGTTCCTTTCAGTGTTTCCCCACAGGGATGTCTGGTGGCACATGAGCACACATAACCTGATCAGACCCCAACCAAACCTTCCCAAACCAGGTGCTGGAAGATTGTACAGGAGGGGAAACATCCCTGGCAATGCCTTCATAGAACAGAATAGAATAGGCACAACTAGGTTGGAAAAGACCTTTAAGATCTTCAACGCTTTCCAAGGGATTGCTTCTTTTTTCCACTTTGCACTATTAATACAGCTGTCACTTCCTTTTCAGGAGAGGCTCGTTTGCCACACAATCTGTTACTCTGCATTTAGTCCACTAAACAGTGCTGGAGAAACTGTTTTGCATCCAACATTACCATGAAGTGCCTGTGCACAACATGAATACATTCATGTATGCTGAACATTTACGATGGTCTTAATCCAACTCATGCTGCAGACAACAGAGACTGCTGTGAGCAGCAGCAGGCATCAGGGTAGGCGACCTGAAAAGCCCCCAGGAGCCCAGCTACATCCTCAGAGCAAGATCACCTGCACCCAGCTCCACTGGGTGAGGCCCTGCCGAGGGGCACCCCGAGCCCCTGGAAGCCAGGGAGGGTCAGAAAACCCCTCCTGAGGGAAATTTCAGCAATCATTTCACACTTGATTAGAGCTTAACTCATTTTGACATGTTCCATTTCAACACTGAGAGAAACCTGCACTGCTCTCCATGTGCTCCATTTAGTACTGAAGGCAGACTAATCAAAAGTGAATCAAAATTTCCATAAATGATACAACTGAAACAAAACATTTCACATCATCCAACTGAGACACTTTGAGATAAATCCTCTAAATGAGGCAGCCAAGTGATATGTGCCAAATGTTTCACCTACACCGTTTTCTCTGGTTAAACCAACACTTTCCTACAAGTTGTGCTGGTTCCAAAGATTTGGGGCCCTTTCTGGCAGAGACCTCCTGTGCCACTATCCCTATGTGCCAACAGCCATGTCCAATGGATGTATTCCAGCCCCAGAGGCTTCTCTCTTCTCAGCACCTACAAACACGCGCAAGCTGCCTGGAAGCACCCATTGCTTCTCCCACTTGGAAGAGAGATCTGTTGTACACCCAGGTTCACCAGCCTGTGTGCACCAACAGTGCTGGCAACATGGCCATGATGGAGATGGGCCTCAGATCCCCGTGCTCAAACAAGAGTGCCCTTCTCAAGAAGTCCTGCAACCAGAAAGCCAGCCCACGCTCACTACAGCTACACTGTGCAGCCAAAGCCTTCAACACACATACTCCTCCTCAACCAAGGTGTTCTCACCCCTGGTACCGGGGCTGGGGCAGCCCACCTCTCTGCAGAACCCATGGAGAGGAAAGCATGGTGACCCCAGCAAATCTCTGTGTGCTCATATAGACAAAATCACCACATATAAAGCATGAATGAGTCTGACAACCTTCTGGAACCCCCATGAACAGCCCAGCAGCAGCACCACAGCAATTACTGCTATTAAGGGCTGGGCCACAGCCTGCTGCACATGGCTACACAGGGACAAAGGAAGAGCTGAAGGTACTGTATTTCTTAAGAGTGTCAAAAGCCTCATCAGAATAATGACATTCATGAGCAAGCTGGGGAAGCAGTGCAGATGAACCTGACAAAGGGCAGGTACAAAGCAGTCCAGAAGGAAAACATATTAAGGGAGTCAACACAGAGTGAGACTGTGAGGACTCAGTAGAAGTGAGCACTGAAGTCAAGCTGATCCTATTGGCACTATCAATATCATCACAAACTACCAGGCACTTGTGTCCAGGTAGAGGTCACCTGTAGATACAGCACAACAGCATCCTCCCAGTACTGTAAGCACAACAAGCAACGGCAGGGCTGTAATAGTGCTCTCAGCTGATGAGAGAGGTGCACACACACCCTGAGCCTTCGTGGGCTCTGCCTCTGAACAAGAGCACCTTCCCAGTCCCATACTGGGCTATTCCTCCCCTGGGACAGTTATACCTGATGCCTGGTACAGCAGCACCAGCCTGGCACCACACAACTGACAGGCAATAGTCAGATGCAAAAAGAAGAGATAACACTGGAATGGCAATTCCTTTTCAGCAGACTTTCTGTAAGACAACAGTAAAGCTTTGCTCAGTAGAGAGACCAAGTAAACAGATTAAATGGGATTTGGTAATATGAAATAAATAGGATTTAGTAATGTAACAGCAGAAATCACTGCTCGCGCAGCTGAAACAGGAAAAAACAAACTCACAAGGGGTTAGAGAAGGAAAAAGACTGTGAAGAGCCAGGGGCTAGCGAGGCTGAGTGCGTCAGACCGGCAAACCCCTCCGTTTTCCAAGAAAGGAGCTAAACAGTGGCTGTAGTCTTTGGCTGTTGAACTGAATGACACTAGTTTCATGTTAAGCAAAGGGCATAATCCCAGTTGAGAGACTATTTCATGGACACTGCTGTCAGAAGAAGACAAAGAGGCAAAGGTGGAGATCTTGAACTGATGTGTAGGCACCAGCTCACGTGCCAGGAACTGGACAGCGGCATTCACAGGAGCCTTGAGGTCACAGCCACCAGCCAGCCCACATAACAGCACAAGCTACGTATGTGCCCTCGCCACACAACACAGCCGCCTCCAGACTTAAATTCTGCCTCAAGTTTGGGGTTGGTTTATTTGGATCTTTTTTGTTTTACCCATTCTCGAGTGTATGGTTAAACTGAAAAGAAGACGCTTTTGAAACCTTGCACATATTCACACATTTTCACCCTCAGTTCAAGTTTCACGCAATTCCAGCATCCAGTTCATGCTTCCTGTTTCAAAGCTTTGTTTCAATATGTTTCCACTGTGGATTTGCCTCACTTCAACACTGTATGGGTGTGAGCACAGAAAACACACACTTCAGTTTTACAAACTGAAATAAATCAGATTTCCAGACACTGCTTCCAAGTCTGAGGCTGTGAACAGGTCTGCAATGTGAAGCACTCTAAGGATTAGACTACATAGAGAAACCAGGGTTTACAGAATGGGCCTACCATTCTTTGCACAACCAAATTAGTAGCCGGATTCAGTACTCTTTAAAAATAAAAAATAAATCAAGGGGCTTGACTCCTTCCTAGTCCCTCATTCCTGTTTTTATTGTACTGTATTTATTGTATTATACTCAAAGAAGTGCATAGTAGGTCTAATTTGGGCAGCATGGGTCAGTAATGCTGCGGTGAAAGTCTTGATAAAAGGCATTTCTAGTTCCTTTTGTGAACCCTGCACAGTGATAAGAGACAAGGTCACCAACGACACTGTTTAGCTGCACTTTTGGACTGTGAAGCTACAAACATCCATCTAGCACTCGAGGCAGTCTCTGGCCCATCATTTGGTACCACTGTGCCCCTGGCACCGCCTGCTTACTTGAACTGGTGCTCTCGGGAGCTGCGTATCTTGGAGGAGAACCGTTCAGCCAGCTTCTCCAGGCTCCTGGAGTACTCCAGCTCGATCTCGGCCTTCCTGCGGAAGAACTCCTGCAGGTCCTGCAGCAGTTGCAGGCGCGACTCCGACTGCTGCTCCAGGCATTTGAACTGCTCCACCAGCTGAGTTCGGATTTCTGCATGCACACAGGAGAGGAGGAGAAGGAAACACAACATCAGCAACAAGCACTGGCCGGGAGGGTTGTCCTTCCTGTCTTGGAGCAATCGCATGGGCTATGCAAGAGCAGGCTCCCTCACAAGCCTCAGGTTTAATTCAAGGCTTGATAAAGCCAACAGACTTTTTTCCAAGCAAGAGCTGAAGAATGTCATTTGCCAGTCTCATATTAAAACCTTGTTCTTTGTCAGAATGAACAGCTGTGTAAGTACACAGAAAACAACCCTCAGAGCTTTTCAATTGCCTCTTCGAAACTAGAAAATGATAGTTCAATCTATCTAGTACTACCTGAAGTCCCGTATTCTTTGCAGATAAATATATAATTTCTTGATAAATGAACATCTGAATACCTTCCAAACAGCTGACAATGACCTGAAGGAAGCTGGCACTGTAAATTCCAGAGGATACAAGAGCAAAAACAAGACAGGAAAGCACACTATTTTGGTGGCACCAAAGCTTACTATTTCAACTAGCATCACACCCCAGCTCAGACAGTGCCCAGGTCACAGCTGTCCCTCCATCACCTCATGAGCTTACAGCACACTAACAGTTAGCTCCAAACTCAGCACATCACCAAATAAGATGAAACACATGCACACGACCACATAGGAACACAGGAAGTAACACAACCTGCGGTCACTGGAGAAGTTGCACATCAGGGCTCGTCGAATCAGGCAGCCCCAAGTTCTCTTTCCCCAGCACATCTCAGGCTTGATGACCAGCCAAGAAGCCCACGCACACGGCAAGAGGAAGGACCCTGACAGGCATTTGTAGGTGCTTGTTTAGCTCAAAGGCTTCTTCACACAGCTCAGGGTTTCACCATGCAGGGCAGCAGCGCGCCCTGGCAAGCTGGCATTGGGGAAATCCTCGGCACTGCCAGACCATGGGCATCTCCTGTGAGAGGAGCAGAGCCCTCCCTCCCTGCAAGGGGATGCTCAGTCACCCGCAAGGATTACCAGAAGCTGACTGCAGACGTGGACTGTCACGGCCTATGTGACAGTAGGACTCAGCCTGTACCAAGAAGGAAGTCCTAAAGTTGCTAGAGCTCTTTGGCAAGGCAGCTACATCTCATCCTTGGTTCCTTCTGCAAACTCAGCACGGTAAGATGACAAACGGTAACTTACCCACAAGAACCACAGCAAGCTAAAAGTACCTGTACTGCCTGAGCACAAGCGCTCGAAATCGCTGCACGGTAACTGGGAAGCTCAGTGACCCGACCAAGACAATACAGGGGTGTCATTCCAATGACTGAAATAATTTTCAGTATATGTGTGTATATATGTATGTGTGTGTATATATATGTGTGTGTGTATATATACATGCTTATATACATATGTATATATGCACACAAGGCAGACTAGCCCTACCAGTTCCCTGCCAGCATCAAGTTGTCCCACAGCTTCACAGCTACAGTAAGCTCCTACCCAGACAACCATCACTCCATACTGGATGCTGAATTAATAAATTAAGTAATGATGATGCAAAGCACTGACTAAAATCACAAAAGATTTATGGTCAATTTCAAGCTCTTTAAACTGGTGAGGATCCCACGCGGAGGAGGTTAAAATTGCCATTATAAGAACATGGCATTCTGGTATTTTTCAACATTTCTTCATATAACAACTTTCATGCGAGACTGAGCCACTCACAGCCTGACAGGTGAACTCCAAAGAGCTGGTGGAACAAGGACACCTGCAGCAATCTCATTACTGGGTAATTTAATGATGGCAGTAATGGGATCGGAGGCTGCAGGCTGCATGAAGGTCACCTAAAAACCAAAAGCTCCTTGGAAATAACAAATGCTGAAATCTCCTAAGTTAATCAGTCACCTTATGTGGAGTCCTCCGTGGGCACTGCTTTTTCAGCACTTCCTTTATGTTCTTGGTACTTTATGAGAGGATAGCACAATTGTTCATAAAGATGCATCCGAGGCTCATACACAGTCTTAGGCAAGAGACTTGACACACTGCACTGACCCACTAGCAAAGCCATTTTCCATTCCTTAATATGCCTGAAGAACTGTGTGACCATCCCTGTGGTGATGACTGATGTCAGAGTGTCTTGGTATTTATCCTTGCACCAAAATAACCGGTACCCTATCCCTGTGGTACCCAGCACCACACCAAAAATAGAGCTGCACACCTCACACACGCAGACAACACTGCTTCTCCATCCCCCATTCTTCACATTCATGCTCATATGCAAAACATAGATCTATTTCCCTTGCAATGGCACTTTCTCTGGAGAGAGAGGAAGGATGCTTTAATGCCACACAACATTCAGCCTGGATTTGGTGCAGAGGAATGCTGGGAGGAGCTGAGTGAGCCTCCAGAAAGCAGTACTCTGTCATTACACCTGAAAGCTGGTCCAATCCAGCTATGAAAACCAGCCTTGGCTTTGCAGAGAGATCACGTGTACGCAGCACTGCAGCTTCACTTTCATGGGGGAAGACTGCTCTTGAGGGACTGTTTGTGTGCAGGAGCGGCGATGCCTTATGGGATCAACAGGAGACAGCCACCTACACAGCCACGGCTTGTGACAGCTCCCTCCCCTTCCAGCCGAGCAGAGCCCGGGTGCAGGATGGAGCTGGTGCTGTCACCCACTGAGCTTGGCTTCCCGGGGTCCAGCACGCCTGCCTCACACAGCGCTGCTCCACATGCACCCCTTTTGAAGGCAAGCACGTTCCCCTTACACAGCTGCTGCAGCTAGCAATGGTGTTCACCAGGGCTGAGGGTGGAAAAGAGAAACCGCCTTGGATTGAGCCTTAGAAACCCACTGCCCCTGTTCCTACAGGATACAAAGGTACTGGTTTCATAACAAAACATTTTTAAAACGTTCACATTCCCCTGCCAACAAGAGTTTCCTTCCTACACAAGGTCAGTGGAAATTTCATTACATCCCAGATGGATTTTACATTTCTACTCCTGCTGGTGCCAACACAGGACTTGCTTTATAGAACTCTGCTTTCCTGAGCAAGTTCGATATAGATTTTTATTTAAAGCCACAGAGATTTCATCTTTATCTCATTCTTTTCATAGTGGATTACAACCTGAAGTGGTCTCCAGAACAGCTCTTAATAACCCTGATGATGCACAGAAATACAAGGAATATCAGTAATGCTTATCCAATCTTTTCCATTTCCTATCTACTCCCATTTTTTTCTGAATCTGAGCAACTGCTGCTTATCTGATCTTTGTATCTGGCACTAAGATTTCTCCTTGACTCTTACAGGGTCATTCAAGGCAGTTCAGACAGCAACACATACAGGGACTCGCCGAGGCTCTTGTTGCTTTCACCACCCCCTGCTCCAAGTAACAGGAGTGTGCAGTTTGTGCCCATCAGACCCGCAGCCTCCACCACAGGCTCGGTGAGGGTCACCACGCCAGTGAGCAGGCAGGACCCAGCTCCCTCTCCTTCATCATCCCATGTGCACTAGCTCACCCAAGAGTCCTGGCACCAAGGAGGACTCAAGAGTGGCACAACCAGTCCCACCAGCAGGCGAGAATGCTCTTGGGCATCCCAGCATCAGCAAAGCTCATTTTGATCTTTGTCAACAGAACTCCTTTGTTTTCTGCACTCCTGTAATGTGTTGCTTCAAGCTTCCTTGCAGAAGTTCTGCCAGGCCAGCACCATCTAAGCATGCAAAGGGCAGTCTCTCCAGACATGGAGAACCTGCTAGCCATGACCCTAAAGCCACTGAGCTACAAGCAGTCTCACAAATGGAGACAGCCACCGACCCCAGGAGCTCTTGCTGCATGTTAATGGGAAAGGTTTGCAGTAGAAAGCAAAATTAAGGGCTGCTGGCACCAGTAATGCAAAGACAGAAGCACTAACAGAGAAAGCGACATTCTTCAGTGCTCTGGAGGTCTCTGAGTCAGCCACTCACAAACACAGCCCCCGACAGTGCCTGCATTGTCGCTCCCCTGCTTCCACCACTACTTTGCTGCTGCATTTAAGAGGCGCCCTCCATTCAATTAAAATGAACTTGTTCCTAAGTAGCCTTTTCAGATAATCATGAAAAAGAAAAAGCAGGCAGGCAGAAAAGCCTTTTTCCACCCTTCATGCCTGCTGCCTAGGGAACGGGCAGGAGCACTCAGAGGACATGCATTTTCTCCCACCTGCACTGAGTAGCTGCAGACCAGGACCACTGATAGAGCAGCCACCATCTGCTGTTTGACCCCGACACCCTCCGTCCTCCCCCTCTAACCTGGTCTCCTGCTCATGCAGCAGAGACAGAGAGAGGGGATCCCCAGCAAATCCAAACCTACCAGGCCCCTGCTAATGCCCAGGGTGACACTTTGATGGGTGCCAGCCAACAATCCAGACCAAAACCCACGCTGGCTTTACCAGTACTCTTTGCAAGCAGTGTTCTGGCCAGCAGCATCAGCATGAGCTGCATCAGCCCTCTCCGTTTTGTGGGGATTAACAGGCCTTTAATTATATCCTTCAACTGAGTGCCAATTATGTTTTCCATGTTAGACAAATAACTTTTCGGTGCCTAACCCCAAAACCTTAGAACTCTTGAAGACAGAGCTAGAAAGCAGAGGATGCTCATGGAAGAGATGCTTCTGGAACTGGAGGGAGGGGAGTCGCCTCCAGTCACTCAACTGATGTGCATTGTGGAGAACTGGCTTTTAGAAACGACCAGATGAGACAAGCCTGGAGCACAGGCAGTTGGGAAAAGGGAAGTTCATGTTTTCTTGGGCTACAGTGAAGTCTACAAAGAAAGAGCTAAACTGTTAAAACCCTGATGGGTGCCCACCATCACTCAGGGATTAACCCCTTCATGCCTGCTTTTTGGCTGCAGGATTCTGTGGTCGGCCTGACCTCTTCAGATGCACGCTTCCACGTAACAGTTACTCCAAAGTTGCAGCAATAGGAGAACTGCTCCTAGTCACAGTTGAAGAAACACCTACAGGAGACACTGTTATATGGCAGCAGGCTAATAACTCCTGGAATTCACATAATGGTGGCAGGTCCTTATTTACAATGAATACAAATAATCGGCAAACTAAAAGGAAATGGGATGCCTCAGAAAGCATCACTAACAAGTTACTCTGTGAAAGCTAAAGGTTTCTCACAGAAATGACCCAAACTGGCTCAATCCCTTTCTTGGTTCAACCAGTACATATGGGGGTTTTTAATATCCCGTGTTCAGAGCCTTCCTTGCTAGATTCAAATTAAGCTTCTTTCCATGAAGAGCAAACCTCACCAGGAAAACTCTCCAACTCTGGCTTCTGCACAGCACCATCAGGATGTGAACAGAAATGCTGCAGATCCGCACGAGTAAAACAGCCACCTTGTAATCTGTGTTCCAAACTTGGGATTTATTGGAACTTTCAGTAGAAACCAACAAACAAAAACCTACCAAACTGCTTTAGGAAGAACTGAAAGGATTTGCCAGAAAGCAAAACATTAAATATAATTACGTAGCTGCTCATGTTTCCAACAGTAGTTTGTCCAAAGTGTTCCCATGATTTACTTCACAATATATGAAATCACAAACAGTGCCAGAGGAGAACAGAGTGAGCCATCCTGTGAACACGGGTGCTAAAAAACCCTGAGTCCCCTTGCACTCTGCTGGCCAGCTGGCTTCCAAGGCTTGCTGCTTTCTTCCTCCCAGTTTGTTTGGTTCTCTTCACAAAAAAGGAGTTTCCACTTTGAGCAGCCCCGTTATTTGAAATGCAGAATCAGAGGTTGCAAATGCAAGAAATATGATTTCCTCAGCTACTCTGAAACACAACAGCAGGGATGTTGGAAAAAACAAAATTCCTTGGCAAACCAAGGACAGCAGCAATGCCCAAGACGGGCCATGGGACCACTAATTCAGCCGGGAGAGGGAACAGCTGTAATCAGAGAATCTGGGGATTTGGCTTTGGTAAATATTTTCAAGTCATCTGGCCCATATCACAGCCGATGGCTGCTCATTAAACCATGAGAGATGTCAGCAGCAATCAGACATCCCAAGGAGAAGAGCTCCAGCCCCTGGGCCCGGCAGGGCAGGATGACAGCCACCACTGCCTCCAGGACCATGTTTAACACAGCCCAGCATAGAGCCCCAACATCAATCCACACCACCAAGATCCCAAATAAGGCACAAGCCCCTCATCAGTTAAAGCACCCCAAGAATGGTCACGTCTCTCTGAAAGCCAGAGAGATGAGTATGATGGAGGGGACGCAGAATGAAAGCAAGTGTGACCACCATGGCCAGCACTATGACATGGAGCACTGTGCATGGGCTGACATGCCTGAGTGGGGATAAACCTGCTGCAAACAGCCCCGCTGCCAACAGCCAAGTGGTACATGAGTGTTAGAGACAGCACAGAGATGAGAAAAGCGTTTCACATCCAGCCTTTGGCAGGATTGTAAATGAATGGCAACATTGACAAAATGCAAAACATAAAACCCCACCCAGAAACTTGACAGAGATATTCAAAAGCCAGCTCAGGACACCACCCTGAACATGCTAACACAGTGCTGCTCATGGCCATGGCTGGGTGGGATGACTGGGCAGCCAGTCCCTGATGGCCCCGTGAGCCTATGGTGCGCAGGGGGGTTGGGGGTGGTATGTTTTGACATGATGGTCGCTACAATCCAACTACGACATCGAGCCTGGATGAAACTGCATGTGTGGTTTGCAGCAAAACAGTGTGCTCCTGCAGCCAAGTGCAAAGAGCTACACAGAGGAAGCAATTCTTTCCACATGGGTTTTGTAACATTAGGCGCTGTTCCTCCTCCAGTACAAAAGATTTACAGTTGCTCAAGTAGCATTTTCTATCAGGCACCAGCCTCTGCGGTGTCAGCATGCAAAGGCAATGCTCAATGTCAACAGCGTAGGCTGTTGCACAAAGAGCCAAGAAGATCTCCATGGAAAGGTATTTCTTGGTAGCTTTCTTAATGTAAGACTCGTCTGCAGACACAGACACCCACAGCTCTCTGCGCCAGTGAGAGACAGGAACGCTGTGCCCAGCCCCACGTGCCCGCTGGCCGCACTGAGCTCCGGTCCTGAGCTCTCACGGGTGTTGCATCAGAACAAGAAGCACCCCAGGCTTATGGCACGCAGCTCATCACCAACAGCAGCTCACACAGGGTCCTGAGATGAGCTGATTCCCAGGGGCACTTCTGTTGAACCTCAGGAAACACAGACCTTCAGAAGTGCTGGAGTTCATATCATCACTACCATGGCAAGACCAATTCTTGTACCTTGAGGGAGCTCTGCATTTGGGTTGGAAACTGATAGTCATCAGTGTGCTGGTGAAAGAGTAAAGCAAAGGAAATTCCCCAAGCCTTTTCAAGACTTCAGAGAAGTGTTGTTGGGTTTAATGTTAACATCTTGGCCAGTAGATCAGGGTAAATCTCATTTTTAACTTTCCTAGTTAAGCCTCATCCATTCTCCACGGAGGACACTGCTGGCAGCCATGCATAGAGCCCAAGTACAATTACACACATCCAAATAGCATACCTCTGACAACACAGATGATGCAGTGTTTTACAGAGAACAGAATTATTTGGGACAAACCGTGGCCAATTTGAGTGCTCATATTAGAAGTAACATGCTTATGTGAAGAGGTCAAGATGAAGACAACACGCTCAGCTCCAGTTCACTGCTAACATGCTACTACTTCAGCTGGTCCCACCCTCAGCTTGCTGAAGGATATTTTCCATATGATCTCATTTTTTAAAATACAACAAGCTCTAGATGAATGCCACCAGATCAGTGCAATCTCTGCCAGTGGTATTCATTATCATTATTCACTTATTCCTTGTGTTTTCATACAGTTCACATTCTCCTGGGCAGCAGAATCTCTGAATTACAACAAATACCATGTTGAAATCCCAGCACCAGCTGAGACTGTGGCAAAACTCCCACCAGTTTCAATGGAGCTGGGATTTCATCGTTTGGTAGTAAATAGACAAGTGAGACAATCTTGTTCTCCAGAAGTTATTTTGCAAGCCTCTCCTTCTTCCAGTAACCCCTGGCTCCAATACTCGTTACTTTAGTGCTGATAAGGGCCATGCTCCTTAACTGGCATCAACCACACTGGAAACCAACACCAGGAGAAGCACATTGCTGATCCATAGTGTACTGTTACTCTAGAAATTACTTTATTCATGAAGAGTAAAACATCTTAAACAAAAATCAAGATGACTTTGAGTGAGGCAACTGCAGGCTAAGCAGTGTAATGGTTCAGTGGTGTAAAGGTACAATGGGT